TCATCGATGACTTTGGGTTTTTGATGCAGACGGATAGGCCGAACTCGAGCACAAGATTCTTCTACTATAGGAGAAGAATAGGCAATCAAAAGGGAAAAAAAGAATGAACATAAGGAAAGAATTGACAACAACAACAACACAAAAAAAGAAATTTTATAATACGAAATAGTAAAACAAGCGGTGGGGGGGGAAAAAACGATATTGAATGGAACAGAGACTATAAACATTCATTTTTTCAATCTTTGCTAAACGAATCCAACATGGCGTCCAATTTCAAGAGTAGTCCAACATGGAATAAAATGAATTGACCAGTCCCATCTCTACGGTAAACTCTCTCTCTCTCTCTTGCTACACTATTACATCGGTCATAGGAATAACAACCCCAAAATGCAATGGAGTTCAAGTTGATCCTACTGTATCGTGTACGTTAGTCGTTAGTAAGTAGATTGAAAAACTTGAATTGGACATGTCAAGGGAGAGAGAGAAAGAAGGGGACAAAAAAAAAAACCTTTTGTGGATTCCTAGACAAAATGCTATCAAAGCCATAGCCAAGGAGGAACAACATAAAACCATGCCGATCTCTCCATGTAGGTTTGACATTAAAGACTGGGTAGAATGGGGTATATGTTGGCATTATGACATGAAACACTGGATGGATTAAATTGTGACTAGATTGAGCGTTAACATGAAACATTGGAGAGATTGGCTGCATTTGGACTCCATGGAATGAAATTGTCTGTAGTTGGACTGTATTAACAAGGTCCAAGATGGAATGCATTGAATCTTTTTTTCAAACTTACTTGGACAGTGGGCTTCCACTGGATGCCTGTCTTCTAGTTTTTCTAACATTTGTGTATAATGTTGGAGACGTTCTTCTAGTCTTAATTTTTGAAATTCAATCCATGTCCAACGCGATGCAATCGATCCTCGATGAAAATACCATTGCTTAACATCGGTTGGAAAACTAGTCCTACAAGATAGAAACGATAGCATGAAAAAGTGCAATATTGACATGGACGAGAGTAGTAAGGTTAGGGTTAGGGTAAAAATGAAATGTTTGTCAAATTAATTGAAGAGGTCTTTTAAGGCAAGAAAGTCATGGATCCAGTAGGGTAAAAGAGAGTAGAAGGTTAGGGTTAGGGTAAAAATGAAATGTTTGTCAAATTAATTGAAGAGGTCTTTTAAGGCAAGAAAGTCATGGATCCAGTTAGAGTAAAAGAGAGTAGAAGGTTAGGAGGAGAAAAATAAAACGTTTGTCAAATCAATTGAAGAGGTCTTTTAAGACAAGAAAGTCATGGATCCAGTAGAGTAAAAGAGAGTAGAAGGTTAGGGTAAAAATGAAATGTTTGTCAAATTAATTGAAGAGGTCTTTTGAGACAAGAAAGTCATGGATCCAGTAGAGTAAAAGAGAGTAGAAGGTTAGGGTAAAAATGAAATGTTTGTCAAATCAATTGAAGAGGTCTTTTAAGGCAAGAAAGTCATGGATCCAGTAGAGTAAAAGAGAGTAGAAGGTTAGGAGGAGAAAAATAAAACATTTGTCAAATCAATTGAAGAGATCAAGACAAGAAAGTCAACGGTTAACAAGGAGGAAAAATCATCTTGTGGATGTGTCGAGTAGATAAAAAGGAAAAGCAAGACAATCCTATCCACATGGACGATAGCGTATCGCACTGTCTGTGCCACTATTGGAAATGATTTTTTCCTCCTGCATCGTTGGGAACTTGAAATGGAGAGACGATATGGAAAAGGGCAAGTAGAAACACTCCAAATAACAACCACTACAACAATAATTAATTGTATAACTGGAAATAGGTCTAGTTCATGGTGGCAAAACTCATCCAGTCGGTCCTATGGCAGTAATTGCATTTTCAAAATAGACTCCTACACCACAATATACGAGATCCTTGGGTAGACGACCGCAGGTACACAGTTGTCAGAACAAGTAGAAATCCATTTGCATGGGAAAGAGGGAAATGGGATCAGCATCATCACTTTCTCAACAAGAAATCGGTTGTCTATGACGATACAAGAGGATGATTTCTTCTTGTAAAGGATTGCCTACAGCGTCGTAAAATAGGAATGGGGGGAGAAAAACAAAAAAACAAAAATTGCTACAATATGGGAAAAGGGTTAAGAAAGAACATTCCATTTCGACCCTTTCTACACAACTGGCTAGCATATCCTAAGAGATGGAAAACTACCCTTCCACATAATTTTGAATAGCAAGCGATGCATGATTTGATTTCTTTTCAATAATAAGGTGGAAGAATCATCATCGGCCTGGCCAAAAATGCCTTGCGGTTGTTCCTCTTGTAAAGGATACTGTGATGATGGATCATGGCGCAGGGAGAATAATCATCGTCGTTGTCAGAAAGGGAATGGATAATATACTGTGATGATGGGTAGACTGCTGTTATCCATGCAAGACAACGACGGCTAGGAGAATATTCAATTTCTTGCCATGTTGTGTTTTGGTTAGCCTACAGGGCTTGGTGATTGTAGACTACTGTATTGAATCGTTAAGATTGGATGCAAAATGCGATGATGGATCAAATGATTTCATTGCAGTTGGCGTGGAAAATCAATCATTTCTTTGCCATCCAAGTCAACGCTAGCTGCTATGGCGTATCCATTGCCATGGCTAGCTTATGACGAAATGAATACATGATGGGCAAAATAAGGAATCATAGAGACAAGAAAGAGAAAGGGAGAAAATGAAAATGTTTTGTTTTTGGGTCTTCTTTCAATCTTTTGATGCAATGTTGGCATGATTGTCCACTACTACTTTGAGTTATTGAGATAGCGAGTCCAAGTTCATGTTTTCCCCTGCAAAACAACTCTGTCTTATAATGCTGTCCAACTATTGGTATGGACACTATTTTCCATCCAATCGATCAACATTATGTCTTTTTAGGGAAAGGACTGATGATGATGATTGGAGGCAAGCGCTCCAAGTCCCACTTTCAATATAGGCAAAAATATGGCGATAGGACATAAAAGGCAATGGATGGCCGTTTCCTTTTCAAGGCATTGGAATGATGATATCCATCATGGATTGATCAAAGTTGGTTTTTTCGACTAGTAGGCAGTTGAAATTGTATTGATGGATCGGCCCAGTTGAAAAGTGATTAAGCAAAAAGTAGCGATCGATATACAAGATGGATCGCTAGTTTGTCTTGTCATGATAAAGGCATTCGTGGATTTTCCAAGGTATCCCCATGGCATTGCAAGGATCGTTTCAAAGTACTGTCTTGCCTTGGAATGGATAGAAATGGTTTGTCAACATTGCTCTTTGAAGTAAGCAGTAGTAGCAAGAGTTTGTCGATGGCCTGGTTGAAATAACAACAAGGAAGTTATCCTCCATCGACCCCGATCGATCGTCTCCGTTATGATGATGATGATGATGGCACAAGTGGATTTTGCTAGTTTTTGCAAGGTATCAACATGACATTGAATCCATCTTGTTCAAGTAAAGTCTTTCTCTTGTAATGGATGATCAGTATGGATTTTAAGGGGTTCAACAGTCTAGCAAGAGGAAGAGCAAGTCCATCGGTGATTGGAAGCATGAAGATCAACGCATGATGGCTAGTTAGCCAATATGGAACACGATGGACAATCGTTGTTGTTGTTGTGGTCATGATGATCCAAGTGGATTTTGAAATGTCAAGAAAAAAAGGATTGCAATCATCTTTCAAAGTACTGAGGAATAGAGGAAATTGATGGCATTCTTTTTTTTGGGGGGGGGGCAAAGTCTGCCCTTGTGGAACTAGGCAGTAGAAATGATTGATTCATGGCCGTTTGAAAAGAGAAGAAAGAAGAGCATGATGAATGGACGACGGAGAGAGTCTTGCTGTGGACAATGGTTGTGATGGATTTTACAAATCATGTTGTTGCTTTTTCAAATAGAACCTATCGACTTGGGAAGGATAAAGACAGTGAACCGTGCCATTGGAGAAAGAAAAGTGGCATGCTCGCCTTTGGCTTGGCCGGTCGCAAAAAGGGGTAAAAAAAGAAGAAAGAAAAAAAAGAAAAAAAAAAACCCAGATCGCATGGAAAAAGAAAAAGACCCTTTGGCAAGGATCGTCAGAATGGAGGAAAAAAATAACCGACTTACCGTTGGGCTACTATAGCTGTATCGGCTGCATCTAATTCATCACAACTTTCACCACCAGAACTACTCTCGGTGACATCAGACCATTGCTCTTTCTCCATCATCGTCAATTGATCATCCAGTTGGCCAAGCCAATGGTGGACATGATTGTGTTGTAAATTAAGTTGAGCTTGATGCGATGGTGGTTTTACATCCAGGTTATTGAATTGTGGAGGCCATGTTGGTATGCGTTGACGCTTAAATTGACCAATAAACTGTTGTAGCGTGATATGATGACGATGGAGGAATTGATTCCATGTTTCTTTCTCATGATGATGATTCATCATGGCTGTTAAAATAAGACGTGCTTGATAGCCATGTTGTTGCATGACTTGAGCCAATTCATCTTGGGCATGTTGCATCATTTGAGTGGATTGAATTTGTCGACAACGTTGGACTAATTGCACTCTTCGATCGTCTAATTTCTCTTGACGTTGGCGTAATGCCTGTTGATGATGTTGAATCCATTGTAAATGGGCATGGGAATCCATCCACTTGGCATCATCCTTGTCGACTACTGCAGCTGCTGCTGCTGCTGCTGCTGCTGTGGTAG